CTAAACTGTCATATATGGTAAAGACATATCCCTGAATAAAGTCATATAAAAATAGTCCTACGCATAGCTAAATAAGAAAAACAGGATAATTTTATAATAAAACAGGTTCAATTTGATATCAATTAAATTCATTTTAGTGAAAAATTATTTAATTAATAGTTAAACTATTTAAATCATGATTTACACATTGGGCAATACAATTCTATTCTTGTTTGTTGAGTGAGAGTATCTGAATGTATATTTTTTATTACTCAGATTCTTCTAAAGTTATTAGGGTAATACAGTAATCCAATTCATAATGAGGATTTGAAGCAGTGCATCTTTCATTGGAGCGGTATGATTTAAAAGTGCAACAAATTACTTTGGCTGCAAAAATTGACACAGCAAAGAACTTAGTTGAATTCCACATGAAAGGTAAAAGCAAATTACCCCTGTGCCATTTTCATGCAGTGCCACAGAGATTAGCTTGTTGTTGATTTCTTCTGGGATGTTTTCTGACTCCCCAGTCTAACCTGCAGCTATGATATCTTGTGGTCATTTTCTGTCCAAATGCTAACCAAACCATACCTTCCTTAGGTTTCAGTCCTACAAGGTTGACCAAGTGCTACCACTTGATTAGGCAGGGAATTTACATAAATCTGCTCATCATTCATTGATTATATTAGTAAGACTTTTCCTAATTGTAGAGAATATTTGTAGCTTGGATTAGATTTAGGCAAGAGATTTGTCCTCCAAGCTTGCTGCTTAGCTCCTGGATGTTTCATTACCAGACTAAATAACATCTTCAATGGGTTTTTTTGGGTGAAGTGTCTTGTTCATTTGTATACTTTTCCTAATATTTCTTAAATATTCAGTGTTGAATATTGAACACTGATCTTGGTGATTTCTGAGCTGATCTCAGAGTAAGTAACTAATAATTGATTGGGGTATGCCACCCAGAATTGTTGAGAGTAGGATATCCATCCAAGTATCCATGCATTATCTATGTCAGTTCACCATCCATCCATCCATCCATCCATCCATCCATCCATCCATCCAGTCTATAGACTAGATTAGGAAGATGCAAAGTCTTGGAGCAAGGCAGTGGCTAACCACACCAGCATTTTTCCAAGAAAAGTTGACCTTGACTTGAAGAAAACTTCTTTGTTATTTCTGCTTAAGATTTCACATATATTTGTGTCTCTATGCGTGATACAAACAATGCCACGTTTTTGTTTTTGTCATTGGTTATTTTTTTTCCTATGCTATATCTTTATTTGGCTTTTTTCTCTGCAAAAATAGGTAAAATAAATCACCAGCATATATCCGTATTTTCTGAACCTTTTGCTTTGACATGAGTTACTATTGGTATCTTGTTATAGCCAGCACTTGGAAGAATGGGTGCCCGTTTTGTAATCGGTTCCTGTTTCATCAGCAGATAAAGATCGACTGAATAGAAAGTATTGAAAATATTGCTAAGAAAATGAGCAACAGATGGTAACTGGTTTCATTCTTTCTTAGTGTCTATGGTCTACATGTCCTTGGCCATCTTTCTTTTGAAGGACACTTTTGTTTTTTCTCAGGTTTCGGCAGCATAATAAATAAAAGTTATCTCTGCATGTTGTTCAAGACAACTGAAAAAGACTTGGGAATAGTGATTAAAGATTGAATATTTCTTTTGAAAACCACATTAAGAACTTTGGCCCTAACAGATCCAGCTATTTCTTCATTGCTAAGTTCAGGCTCGGCTATCAGAATTGGCCAGCACTCCAAATATTCCATTATCATATTCCATTGGAGAACTTGTGGAGAGAATAAAGTGGTTATTACAAAAATACTTGGCAAAGCTGGTTCATTAGCCTTTACTTCTGGAGCACTAAATCTTTTGCTAAGAGGGACGTTAAGGGAACATTCAACTGTTCACCCCCAGTTTGGGGACTTCTTCACTTTGTTTTAAATTTCTTCTCAGATTCCATAATTTACAGCATTGTTTGTGAACAAGCGGCCCACGAGGCACTTGAAATTCTTTCAACTGTTGTTCAATTTTCATTTCTGCTTAATTTAGTAGCGTATGTATTTTCTTGACATATCACTTCTTTCAGGGAAAAAAATAGGTTCCTTTGTTAATACACAAACCCATTCTGGATATCGCTGTACTCATCAACTCTTAGGACATAAATTTTCCTATCTGGTTTATTTATTTATTTATTTTTTGATTACTTGGTTTCTTTATATATTTCATCAGTTGTTCTTCTGCAATGTCTGCTGTTTCTGTTATCCTGTATCCTGGTTGAAGTGACAGAAATGTGGATTTAGTGTGCATTCTCATCTGTACCAACAGGAGAATTGCATAAATCAGCAGTCTCCAACCTTTCCAGCTTTGCGGATTGGTAGGGGGAGAGGAAAATGGTTCTACACAAGCGGTGGGTAAGTGTACGTGTAGCTCCATTTGCACAAGTGGTGGATACGTGCACCTGCTGCTTGCATAAATGGAGCTATGCGCACATGCTTGCATGCAATTGGCCACTTTGGTGGCTCGGTTTTGAACAGCCTGTGGCCCGGTAGTTGGCTGTAGCCGGGGGTTAGGGACCCCTGGCATAAATAACCTGATCTTTGGTGGGGGTTTTTATGTTACAATGTTATCTATCCCTACTTCTGTATGATGGAGTTTCTTTTTAGAAGCATCTAACTGATCTTGACTAAACTAAAAAACTAAACTGGGTTGAATCACAGTTTTGTGGAGGATGGGAAGCCACCAGGCAAATACTAGGCCTGTGTATTAGACTGGAAAGTTGGAAAAATTCTCAGCAATAGGTAAGGCCAAAACACTTTGGCAATTGCATATAACCTCATCTGGAATCGAGCTTGATTTATTCACCTGAAAAATCTGGTTGTGTTATTAGACCTTGAGATATATATATACACATATACATCCCACACACACACAATATTGATCTTTATATATATTTCTATATTTGTTAATTTTTAGATGTGGTTTTATTAGTTTGTTGTGTGTTTCCCAATGCCTATGGTGAGATGGGCAACTATATAAATTTGATAGAGAGATAAATGACTCTTCGTTCTGTTTGCTATACAAGTAAATTTTCAATCCCCTGAAATGTGTTCTCTGAAGGACATCCATTCTATTCAGCAGGGCTCCCAATTGTTGGGAAGCCAAATGTTGGGAAAATTAGGGCAGATTTATGAAATGTGAAAGCTGCATTATTAAATAATCAGAATTGCATTTTAAAAAAATTCACCATTACTATTTGGAGCAAGGTTTTTTTGACTGCAGTGTTTACAGTGTAAGAATTATGTCTGTAACAGGAACTTTATTCTCTGCTGCATAAATTGTGTGGATTGAATGTAAAATTGATTTTGAATGCGGCAGAATAAGATAAGTTGATAGACAAATTGGTGCTTGTGCCAAAGTAGCTTCCTGGTGAAATTGTTCAATGCGCACAGAATTCAGAGGAACAGTTTTCTGCTATACCTCAATACATCATTGTCAACAGTGCAAAGATCAGTTATTTTTTTTCAATATTGCAAGGAATGGACCAGCACTGCTTCCTAATGCACTCTTTGCACACATGGACTAGAGTTGGGATGCTAATCTGGGAGAGGGGGCATCACATCTGTCCCCTTGACATTTGGTCGGATTTCTATTGTCTAAATCACTTTTAATTCTTCCAAGGAAGGAGATTTCACCTCACAGTGAGGCAGCTTATTCCTGGTAAATAAACGAGGTGTAATAAATGCTTTTCCCCATTTATGTAATTATTGGATCTGCAACCTTCAATGAGAGTCTAAAGTGCCCCCTTCAGTTAGATCGAGTTCCCAACCCCTGGGCTGTGGACTGGCACTGGTCCACATCCCACCTGGAACCCAGCCCTGCAAGAGAGCAAAGCCCCATCTGCACACGCGTAGGGTCCAGGCAGTGTGCAAAACACGTCCCCCCCAAGTCCACAGAAAAACTGCCCTCTATGGAAATGGTGCCCGGTGTCCAAAGGATTAGGAGTTGCTGTTGTGACCAAGGCCCAAGTAGTGATTACCAAATACAATTCAGTCCTCAACAAACTTATTTTATTAAAACAGCTGAGAATTAATTCATTCTCAGCTTAGTCCAAAACAAAATTTTTAATAACCAGTCTGTTGGCCTTATCATCAACCTTTGATGTCTTTGGCAGCCTGCCAAAAGCTTTTCTTGGCAAACCCCCCACAAAGTTCAAGAGACACTGACAAGAAGCACGGGAATCAATGTTGCTTTTCTACAAAGAATCCAACGGCTCATTGCTGCTCTTTTAAGCCTTATGGGAGTGGCCAATCATCTTCTGGCCTTATTCCCGAGTTGTCCTTTTTTCTTCAGCTGCTCTTGCCTTCTGGCAGCTCTTCACATGTGTGCACTAGGAACAGGCTCCTCTTGTTCCTCTGCCTCTCTGCTGTCCGCCTCTGGAGGCTCCGGAGTCCACACATCGCCCTGGCCCCATCTCTGCCTCCAACGCAGAGCCTTCGTCCAGGCCTTCCCCTGACTCCAGGACTGGCCCATTGTCCTCCCGAGCCTCCTCACTGTCCGACTCCGCTGCCAGGTCCGTAGGCTGCTGGTGGACCACAACAGTTGCTGAGTTAGATCAGGGGTCCCCAAGCCCCAGTCCGTGTACCAGCACTGGTCCACGGCATCCCAGAAACCGGTCCATGTAAACAAGCAAAGCGCCATCCACAGTATGCAAGCAGCACGTGAAACCACGCCCCCGCCGGCCCACAGAAAAACCTTTCTCTACAAAACCAGTCCATGGTGCCCAAAAGGTTGGGAGCCACTGAGTTAGATGATTACACAACTCTACTCTGAATATTTTAAAGTGTTATAGGTAGTCCTCAGGTGGGAATGGCAGTTGGGACCAGTATTGCCATCCCTAAGCAATGCAGTCATAAAGCATGATGTCATGTGACAGCATTGTTTAGCAATGACAAATTCCAGCAGTCTGGTTGCTGTTTTAATCCTAACTTGTTCTTAAGTGGTAAGTGGCAGGAGTCCTAACAAAGAGTTTAGGGATAACATGAGAGGACCTGGGAGGGCCAGTGCAGGCCCTGCATAAATTGGGGGAGGTGGAGAGAGGCCAAGGAAGGGGATGCAGCACATGTGCAGGAAGGCTGGGGGGTGGGTTAGTATGACAAGATGCACAGACGGAAGGCCAGGTGTGGATGTGGTGTGGTAGGGTGTATGTTCAGGAAGGCCAGTGGGGGGACTTACCAAGGTAATCTTCCCTGCTGGCTTCCCCAGTGACTTTTTTTGTGGGAAGCCAGCAGAGGACTGGTGATCAGTTGACCTTGGGATGTTGCAACTCTCTTGTGAACCAGTTTCCAAGTGCTTAATTGTGACCACATTCCTGCAAGGATGTTGTGATAACCAGAACTTCAAGGACCAGTTGTAAGTACCACTAGTTTAGTGCGGTTGCCACTTCAAACGGTCGCTAAATGAGTGGACGGTAAACCAGGATATCTGTATTTTTCCAGGAGGATGAAATTAACAGTATTAACTCCAGTTTTCAGATATCTGTTTTTTTGGAGGCAGCCATCCCACTATCACCCTCCCATTTTCCTTTTCTGAAATTTTACTGTAGTTTAGGTAGTGGAGGCATTGACTTATTTTTAGAGCACATGTTTGAAGTAATCTAAGATCCTGCAAAATGTAATTTTGTAGCTAACAAGGCTGATAGCGTGTTGCCAGAAAACGGGTGTTTCTGTGATTTGATTACGTTCTTGTTAAACTGCACCACAGAAACAACTTTTTTTTTCTAATTAAAAAAAAGTATGAACAGTATACTTACTGGACTTTTAAAGAGAAATTACTGTATACTTCTGGGATCTATTCTCTGCCTTGTGTGTTTCTCCATTTTTCAGAAAGGACCCCTAGGAAACATCAAGAAATAGCTAAGCAAAAAGTTGAGGAATTATCAACAAAAATCCTTGTTCTGGAACGGAACGTGGCATAAGCAGCTTCAGACCATAGACAGATGAGTCTAATAATGGAGACATTTCTGCTGGGAATCTTATAACGGACTAAAATGTTCAGGAGGGAGACTAATAAAAGAATACTTTCCACAGTTAGATATTACCCACGCTGTTTTTAATGACCCACCTGAGGGAGAAAGAGATTGTGCATGAGAGAAAAGGAGATAATGATGAAAGAATCATGTATGTTTTGAAATGGTTAATTTCACAGTTTATATTGAAAAAGTAGTTACCATTATCCTAGTCTTAGAAATCTGAATTAGAAACATTTATTTTTGCTTAACTTTACACCTTAACTTCTTGATTTTTTAAAAAAAGTTTTCCCTGTAAAATGTGTTCTGAATTTGTCATGAAGTTTACAGAATGGGCTGTGTGGGTGGTGCAATGGGTAATCTTTTTGTCAGCCCTGAAGATCTAAAGTTAAAGATGGCCTCCAGGGCTGACACTTTTCTGAAACAGTCAAGAGTTTGTAGCTCTGTTACATGATAAATAAAATAACCTTTCTGCAAGTAGACGGAGCCGAGATCTAAATAGGTATCCTTCACATATGTTGGGCCTCAGAAAGGTATCTTGGCTTGAAGAGGACTTTGAAGTAAAACCTGAAGAGAGAATCGGGTTGGCCAACAGTGTTGGGGAATATACCCATCTTCTATTTTGGCCTGGATGGATTGAGTCTTCATTAACATATTGAAATACATTTTGGGGAGAAATATTAGGTGTGGCAAGAGTTAGTACATTCCAATCATTCTCTGACTCCCTCTCTAATTTTTAATTTTTTTTATTTTTGACTGATGACGTTACTTGGATGAGTAATGAAACGACTCAGATTAACAAGCTTTGGCCCAGTTGCCATGATTTAACCTTTTTAGATACAGAGTGTTAGCACTATATATATATAGCACTATAGTGGTGTAGCAATGTTTTTAAAACTTATTTTCCTGTAAGGACCCCTTACCTCTTTAAAAATTATTGAGGACCCCAAAAGAGCTTTTGTTTGCATGGCTTAAATTTATCCATATTTATTGCACTAAAAATTAAAATCGATACGTTCCCTGTCAGTACTATTTCTCACAATTGTTTGATGGGTTTTAATATTGTATTACTTTTTAACATAGATGGCAAATAATTTTCATTTTTCTGGTGTCCTGAGAGACGTATGTACATACATACATACATACATACATACATACATGCATATTCATTCATTCATTCATCCATCCATCCATCCATTCATTTCCTGCCTTTATTATTTTTAAAAATAACTCAAGGTGGCAAACATATCCAACACACCTTCCTCCTCCTATTTTCCCCACAATAACCCTGTGAGGTGAAGTGGGCTGTGAGGTGGTGACTGGCCCCAAATCACCCAATTTTGCTTCACCTCTTGGGGCCTCAGGCTACGTTTTACTGTAGTAAGCTCAATTAATTACTAATCTGCTCTGGAAGGGTTAATTATTGCCAAATCAGGTTGACTTAATCATGGACATTCAGCCTTGTCGCTGATGTTGTATGCACAAGCTTCTTGTCATTGCCAGCACCTGAAAATCTAGAAAAACCATCAGAGCAGAGTCGCAGGCTACAAACCATCTTTTGTAGTACAAAATACAAGTAATCCTTGACTTATGACCGTAATGAAACCTGCCCATTATGATCCCAAGTTATAATGATTGTTAAAAACAGGTCAGTCATGTGAGCATGTCGTTATGCAAATCCATTGTTCACTTTGGTGCAATTTTGCCATAAATTGGAAGGAAGTGCCAATTTTAGGCAAAACTTGTAAAACACATTCAAGTGAACTTGAGGTGCTGCAAATGACCATGAAGGTGGTAATGTTGAGTGTCCATTGTGTGGTCATGTGACTATTAGGGAGGGGAATGTCAGAACTTCAGATTCGGGTCATTAGTCCCCTTTTTTGGGTCCGTCATAACTGACTGATTGTAAGTCAAGGACTACCTGTAATATTCTTTCCTGTTTTGCATGTAATTACTGTTGTTAAAATCCTCTGCATTGCATAACTGGATTGCTCTTTATGCCTTCCGTGTTGAAACTTTTAAATGCTCCGCTATAAGGCACTTATATTAGAGGGGCAGGTTTGACATTGGATATCACGGGAGTGAGTTACATCGCATGGAAATGCTATTTTTGTTGCTTGAGCCTCTGGCAATAGCATTTCTTCCAATCTAGCTACTGCTTCTTTTGTTTGCTCTGGCTTGTGTATTGTCACAAAATTGGATGCTCCCCTTGAGCCTCTTGCTATTTTAACTAGCCATATTGCAGTATGTTTAGTATTTTATAGATCTGATTTCTGCCTAATACGGATTTGTTTTCCTGATCATCCTGGAGCCAGCAGCATTTCCTAATTGGCACCCCTGGTTTTGGATGACACTCTGCCCCTCCCACCCCCCCACCCTCCTAAATCTGGGTCATTTAGGTGATGGTTCTTAGAAGATTTGCAGAAAATGTGCTCGTAATAGAAACATTAGCTATCATGGGAAGATCACAGTGTTGTGATTGGGGTATATTAGGACTTGCATTCTTAAAAAAGATATAGAAAAACTGATTTTGAACTTACCAAGTTCTTTGCTGAAGAAAGCTGTCATTTTCTGGCTTCTAAACTATACAAGCCTGAAAAAAATGGATCTGCTTTCACATTTAAAGGGCTGACTCCTTAAAACAGCAGCAAAGAAAAATGACAGGGTGATTAAAATCAGCCATTCTTTCAAACCATCTCCAAAGTGTGCATTGCATTAGTACATATGCTACAGGTAGTCCTTGACTTACAGCAATTCTTTTAGTGACTGTTCAAAGTTACAATGGTTACAAAGTTACAATGGAAAAAAGTGACTTATGACCGTTTTCAGTTACAACCTTTCCAGCATCCCCATGATCATGTGATCAAAATTCAGATGCTTGGCAGCTGGTTCATGTTTATGAAGGTTGCTGTGTCCCAAGGTCATGTGATCACCTTTTGTGACCTTTTGACAAGCAAAGTCAATGGGGAAGCCAGATTCACTTAATAACCAGGCTATTAATTGAACAACTGCAGTTATTCACTTAACAACTGAGGCAAGAAAGGTTGTAAAATGGGACAAAATTCAACTGACAAATGTTAATGTTAATTTTATTTATATACCGCCCTTCTCCCGAAGGACTCGGGGCAGTGTACAGCCAATTTAAAAACATAAATATACAGACATCATCATTAAAAAGTAATTAAAATCAATGAAACAGTTTCGGCCAAAATTTAAAACCCCAAGTTAAAACTCCAATTTAAAAACCACTTAAATAGACAGCCCCGCCTGTCAGAACAGTAGGGTCTTGAGGGCACAGCGAAAAACCCGCAGGTCAGAGATTGTACGTATTTCTGGGGGCAGTTCGTTCCAAAGGGCAGTTCCAAAGGTGTTGCCAGCTGGCATAATTTGGTTGACGGCACCCTGAGGAGTCCCTCTCTGTGGGAGCGAACTGGTCGGTGGGAGGCTATTGGTGGCAGAAGGCGGTCCCGTAAATACCCTGGTCCTATGCCATGGAGTGCTTTAAAGGTGGTAACCAACACCTTGAATTGCACCCGGAAGACCACTGGGAGCCAGTGCAGCTCGTGCAGGAAGGGTATTACATGGGTGCATATAGTTGCGCTCATAACCACCCGTGCAGCCGCATTCTGGACCAGTTGGAGCCTCCGAGTGCTCTTCAAGGGGAGCCCCATGTAGAGAGCATTACAGTAGTCCAGCCGGGAGTGACAAGGGAGTGAGTGACCATGCGTAAATGTCTCACTTAACAACAGAAATTTTGGGCTCAAAATTGTGGTTGTACATTAAGGACTACCTGTACAAGTTAGACTGCTTTGAAAATGTAGTTCTGAGTGTTCATATAATATTTGCGTACTTTACTTAGGTTTTTGTTTAACAGCGCTGTTAGAAACTTCTGTTTGTGTCTCTGCAGGGCAGGGTCAAGAAGGCAAGATGGTTTTTGCAACCGCACAAAGAAAGCCGTGCCTTTTTGTTATGTGCGACGCAATGCCTGTGAATAAAGGGCAGTGCTTTGATTGCGATACAGCTGCCATATTGACTTTTTTTGACACTATGACCCCTGGCACAGGCACTGCCTGTGGTTTGTGAATCTGTTTTCCATTTGTCTTCAATGTTGTTCAAGCATTATTTTTGCTTCTACACTTTGGAATTGTTTGGCCACTAAATGGTAGTGTTGCACACATGTACAATTTAGCCTTTATTTTTATCTTTCATTTCACTATTTATATACTCTGTGTTTCATGAATGATTAATAAAATTCACTTGGTAGCTTTTTGGACATAATCCTATTTCAGGTTGGTCCATGGATTTCCAAGTTACATTAGTGTCATGTCTTTTGGGGGCGGGGAAAGAAAATGTAACATGAACTTGGCTAGCCCAGAACACAGACCCTTCTTAGCATATTTTTAATCTTCAAAACACTTTTGGATTTTTTTTCACAGAATTACAACCCTGCATATCTCCTTTTTTAAAAAAAATTAATGGAGAGGAAGAGAGTTTTGCGGAGCAGCTGCTCAAAATAGGGAAAATAATTTTTGTGTAATAAAATTCCTATCTGTCCGCGCATTTGGCTTTCTTTTTTGCTTCCAGACAGATTGTGTGTTGCTTCTAGCTTCCTGCAAGTTGGGGCTTTCTGTCTGTTTATTTCCCTCTTCTGTCCCTCAGAAGTAAGAGTGAGCCTGAGCAGCTGTTCAGCCTTTGCAGAAAGCCACATATTTTTTCCCAGTTCTTTCTGATTGTAGAAAGTTACCTTAATTTCCTTAGGCATATGCAAAAGTTCCTTTATTTTGAAACAGGAGGGCTTGGAGGATGTGCAGTGACGAGGCAATAATATCTTAAAATGGGAGCGTACACCAAGCAGAAATGTTCACTTCATGGATTGTCAGAATAACTTCATATTGTAGAACTATAGATGCAGATTAAAGCATTGCTTAACAATTTATGCTTTTTGGATATTGGTCCTAAGCTTTTGTGCATAAATATAGGAGGGGGAAAACAAACATACATGCATACATATACACCGTACATACATACATATTTATTTCTATTTAAATAAAAGAACTTTGTAAGTACAAAGTTATAACCACATATAACTTTGTGGTTATAAGAAAGAGAACTGTTAGCAGTTTCCTTTGTTTATTTAGAGGGGTTGTCATTAACCAAAAACAACAACTTTCAGTTTTGTAACTGTTTCAAGTGGAATAATAGGATTGGATCCATAGGAAATGGTACCCAAACTATGCACTAAGTTATTTAGTTTTGTGTTTCTTTAAAAGAAGACTACAGTTCATTAACAGTTATCTTTAATCCTGCTGTTACATTCCTGATGTTTATGGATGTATAAAAGCTTCATTAGTATCTATAGTGTTCCTTGTTGCAGTTTCACATACACTGAGAAAATGTTCTAGGCAGACAGAACAACAATCTTTCTTTAGGCAGAAATCAAAGAAGATCTCCCATACAAATTGCTGCCTTAGTTCCCAGTCACGCAGAAGACATTCCAAAATTTCAACCATTTCTCTCTTTGGGAAATTCATAGACATACACGGTCATCTTGAAACTTATTGCTTCCTAGATAATGGATCTCTTCATGGAACCTTAAAGTTGTTGTCATTTGTGTAAACCATGGTTCCCATGCAAGATATTTTCTGTTTTTTGCGATGTCCATTGGCAAAGCTGAGTTTGACATATCCATTTGCATAGTGGATAACCTCTCAACCTCTGATGTGAAAATCTCTGACGTGAACTGATGATATAGCTAGATACAAACTTTCTTCTGAAAATTTCAACACGGCTCTAAATTACTGGCGATAGTTTACCCAGAGAGGCAGGCTGATTCTTGGAATACTTATTTCCAATCCACATCAATTACCAGGAGAACCAAATGAAGTGCATCTATCCATAAGTAACTTTCAACAGCTAGTGGATTGAATCATGTGATGAGGTTAGTTGAATTCAAGTCCCATTGAAATCAAGTTGCATTGCAAAAGAACTTATTTCATTTAGGGGAAATCTGTGTTTAATTAATTTAGCCTGCTCTAAAATATATTTTATATAAACTACTTGAACATTGTCCTTGGGGATGTAGCATCTTAGTAAATAGCTCATCTCTCTTGTAAAAGATAGATTTTTAGTCTCAATTAGCAGAGTTTGGTAATTCACAAATACAATACATATTTTTGCTACCTTCAAGTTTCAGTAAGTCCTAACCACTTCGCATAATGAAGCTTATTCTTAAATGATAATATTGAAGATTGTACACCTCTCTTTCGTCAATTTTAAAGACATTTTTGGGTCTTAGTATAAAGTTTATCCTTTCTAACCCGTATCTCTGGTTCTCATTCTTATTTCAGTAGTTGGATAAGAGCTGGACCATTTCTGAATTCAGTTATGCTCATGGCTGCACATCATAAATTGTAAATAAGACTTGAAGTGCTCATGGTTTTCAGTTATATTTTGTACATGACTCACAATGTATTTTAAAGTTATTCTAACAGCTCTGAAGCTTTTAGTGGGCATTCCTTATAATTTCCATTTAAAAGATTATGCATTTATAATGTAGTAGGACAAAATCACTTAAAAGCTGGCAATGCCTTTGAGTTGCTATATATAATGCATTAATGAAAACATTTAGCATTTAAATCATAAGAGCTATTTAACATTGCTTTCATTTTAGTATTATGTGACAGGAAAAAAACATTACTATACTTTAAGCTAGAAAACAACGGCTTGGAAAATAATGTTATATATTCTTTCCTTTTTTTAGTAGTTAATTCTATAGTTTGGGATATTTGCTTTATTTCTTTGTTTCCACAAAATCTGATTATTTGGCAGCATAGGACAGATTTTGTGTCAAGGTGATTCCCATGTGCACCATCCTTGTTTAAATGCTATCATTAAATCTGGAAACCTCTACCCTGTTTCCCTGAAAATAAGACCTCCCCAGATAATAAGCCCAATCTGGCTTTTGAGCACATGCACTAAAATAAGCCCCCGATTGAAAATAAGCCCCCCCTGAAAATTAGCCCTCCCTAAAAATAATTAACCGCATGCACAGCTGGTCCCTGTCATTTCCTCTGGTTAGCGTTAGGGAGACAGAGCTGGAAATCAGGTAAGACCGCAAGAGGAGCCCCCTCTTGCTCCATGCACCCCAAAATAATAAGACCTCTCTGAAAATAAGGCCAAGCGCTTATTTTGAGATTCAAAAAATATAAGACAGGGTCTTATTTTTGGGAAAACATGGTAATTAACTTAATTTTCCATTTCGGGAAGGTGTGTCTAGCTTTGAAATCACAGAAAATGTTCAAAAGGGATTTGCATGGAACAAGGAGATTCAGGTGGTCCACATCCTGACCAAAGTGTTCATTTTAGTCATAAATCCAGAACAAGTAGGCTAGATCTTGGCATAGATGTTGTATGGTGGAAGACAGCAGATTGATGGCAAGGTCATTGGTGGCAGCAGCAGCTAAGCAAAGATACCAGAGAAGAAACGTGTTGGGTGGGAGGATCAAAGGAGAGTCTATTTTGGTTATGCCACTTTTGAATTCAAGCGTGGTAGCTAAGGCCAGGGAAGCTTTGCTGCCCAAACAATGCAAAAGTAGAGGGTACAGAGGAGCACGTTTGCTCTTTTCATCCTGCAGGACCCACCTGAAACATCTCTAAGCAAATCAATCAAGACGTTCCCCCTTTCATTTCAAGATGTTCCACAATTCATCCAGAATGGTTCAGTTGATTTCCTAAACACAACATTTGTTGCCTGGTCAGAACAAACAGGTTTTCATGCACACCCTAAAACTATCCCAGGATTTTAAATCTAGTTTAATATCCTGGTTTATTTTGAAGCTGGAACCCTATCTCTTGGTTCATGTAAAGTGAGGAGCACTGGTAAATTGTGTTCCTCATTTTATATCCTGACCTATTATCATGACCAATTAAAACATAGTTTACAAAAGTAGAGCGAGGAGATTTTATTCATGGGGCGGGGGGAAGGTTTGTCCAGAACTCGCTCGTGAAGACAAGGTATTATAGTCTGAACTAGGTCATCCCCTTTTTAGCCTTCAGCAAGTTGTCAGACTTCCTTTATCCATTTATAAAATATGAAGTACTGCATGACTTCAGGAACACTTGTGAGCATGTCTGTAGCCAGCAGCACTGCACATTTTAAGCTGGTTCAAAGTTAAGTACATCTGTATATGTGGGTACCTTTAAAAAAAGTCTAAGCGATGTATCTGAATTATGTGTGTGTGTAAATGAATGTAGCCTTGAAAGACATATTTGGCTGTGTGTCATATGAAGTTTGGTGGCCTGATCTAGATGAACTTCAGAGGTTTGTGACTTACTACTTTGCAGAAGAACAGACTATATACCCTGTATGTTATCCGCATTACAATGGCATTTGATCAAACTTTTATTATTCTTTATATTTGAACATTGATGACAGTGATTTGTAGTTTGTTTCATTTCCCTTATTGGCCTTGATAGTTATTTGGATAAACATTGTAATACTTTCATTCTTCATGAAAAAGACATCTTTGCTTTGCCATTAGCAGAATTGCAAAAATCTATCAGGGATACTTTTATTATAGCTTTTTTCTCTTTTTGATTTGTTTTTCTCTCCCTTTTAAGTGTAAAGATGGTGCTAATGTGGACCAGCGGTGACACCTTCAAGACGGTGTATTTCCTCCTGAATCAAGCTCCATTCCAGTTCTCGGTGTGTGGACTTCTCCAGGTTTTTGTAGACATGGCCATCCTTTTGCAGGTTTACTTCTTCAGCTATTACCCACAGAAACCTGTTCCACACTCATCACATCCAGCCAGCACAAAGGCACTTTAAGACACAGAATGCAAGTGATTATTCATTGAGATTTGTAGAAGAGGCTGGGAGCCAGCCTTAGCTTCCGCTCTGCTTGTACCTACTGTGTTTCTGAGGAACTAAAAATAGAAGGATCAAAGATGCATACCTACATGGACACTTCTTCTGGCACTTTTCCTCTTCTTTCATTGGGTTGGATATCTATTGAAATGGGTTTGTTTTTTGGGGGGTTGCAGTGAGAGGTTTTCTTTTATGTTCTTCTGTTCTACTCAGTTCTTTAAAATATCTGTGCACGGATAAATGTGTGTATCACAAGGGCTGGTTGTTAATATTCTCAATGCTATTTTTTCAAAGGTCAGTTATAAAAGTTGGAGTATTTTGTCTGAAGCATTTACCTATTTATACGCATATGGGCTATGTATTTGGAATATTTTACATTCCTTAGATGAAAGTGCAGAACCTGTTGTTGTTTTCAAATGTGGTAGGCCAAACTTGGTAAGATTGTAAGAGTTGATACTAGGAAGAGATGGTTTACTGAATAATGTCAAGGAATAGATTTTGTGCAACTGTGTTAAATATATATGTGCACACTGCTGGGCCAGTGTGATGTATAAATACTTCAGAGTGATTAGTGATTTTGATACAAATGCTACTACAGCCAAACAGAACAGACTAATGCACAGTTAAGTCTTCAGAGAGCTCAGAAGGATGAGTAATTTCAACACCTTGGAGAAATTACTAACAGAATCTATAAAGGATTTATAGTTAAAGAGGTCAAGCTTGAAAGAAAATCAGTGTTTAGTTTAGCCATTATTTGCATTCTGTTCCTGTATTTTTGTTTGGTGGGAAAGCCACTTTCAGTTATGTATGGTAAATCTTGTCTTCACAGTGCGAGCACAATGACATTCTTAAAGTTATACTCTTAAGTTGCACAGGTCAACTACAATAGCACAGCTTCTTACACTAAAGACATTATCTGAGTAACCTCTCTGTGAAAGAGATGGTTTACTAGACTAGGATAGAGAAGAGAGAGCAATATTTTAGCGTTGGATAATAGGGCAGCCTTTTTTTTTAAAGAAACATTTTGTGTGTGATATTTTTCTAAATATTTAATACCAAATGTCATTTTATGTTTGGGAAGAAGTGAGGCTACTGAAAATGAGGGGAAGTATGGTAGCGATTCATAGTCCATTAAAGTTTTGAAAGTTGCTTCATTTTAGCAATGCCATAGCCAGTAACTGAAAGGGGAGAATGAAAAAGCACTTAGGGAGGCACATTTATAAAAGTAGAGAAACTGGAGGATCTATAAAATGAGTTCACCAGACTTATGTAAGCCTATTCTGAGATTTGATTGGGCTGCAAGAAAAGCATTGCTTGTATTGTTTTAAAAATTCCTTGACTAACTTGTCAAGGCAAATTTGCTTCCATAGCTATGAGATATATATATATATGCATTCTACAGTGATTCAGGAACCACTCTCTTCTCTTAGCCATAAAATACATAAAACTGTATGTGCTTTTGTTGTTAGATATATCCTACTTGGAGGGGCATTTTATGAAATGCTGATTCAACTGTTACCTTGATTCCCCTCAACTATCCAAAAAAAGATATTCAAGTCTGACCAGAACTCTTCAGCTGGATCTCCTCCTTGCTTCATCCGGCTGTCTCTCTCTCAAATCTGGGGTGACCTGAAGACATCAAAATCCCATCTTTGCAAGAGTGGGGATCTATCAGCAGCTTTGTTTTAATCCCTTCCACTAGCACATCTGATCTGGCTATGCGTCCTCTCCTCTATTTTGGATCTGAGGGAGAAGTGTTTCACTAGGGCAATTCTGAATGCCCAGGAACTCAGTCCCTCCCTTAACCAGCAAAAAATAATCGAGACAAGACAAGGATGAGGCAATATATTGATTGGCTATCACTTTAGTGGAGGTCTCTCTGCCTGGCTGGCAAATAAATAAAACCTCAGGAAAGCTGCTTTAATGAGGGCTTGGTGTGAAATGTAGTTGAATAGACTTGTGCTGTTGATTGGCTTCGCTGCTTATTCCTTGGTGCCTGAAGTGACCTTACCAAGCTGATTTTATGTGGCATGGCTGAATGTGAATGTTGCATTGCTCTCTTTTTCACAAGCGTTCTAACTAGGTTAGAACAGGGTGGCAGTCGTCTTTTAAATTATACATTTTCACCCTAGTTTTTCCTGGTGTGCTGCTGTAGCGAGGATTGTATTTCTACTCGTACAACAGAACTTATTAAAATCGCAATGCTAGGTTTTATTTTTGTATGGGGTAATATTCTTTGCTTTCCCAGTGTCCTTTGAGAAGAGATACGGGATTAAACTATTATGTTAGTGTAGCCTGAATATATACAAATACCTCTTTTTTTTAAACAAGTGTTATTGAAGATAAAATTAATAGTATTCCACACACACTCCTGCTTTTTTTTTAGATGAGTTACTGTCCACAGATTCTTAACTTCTGCTGTCAATATTAAAATATAGGCTTAGAACATCACAACAAAACTACAAATGTCACCAGAGAAGTTTGCGCACTTGTGCAGTATTTAACCGTGTGGATCACTCACTCCTGAACTCCAGATAGACACGTATTTAAGAAAAGGGCCATTTTAACATGACCCACCTACAGTTTTGGGCTCGACATCAATTGATTCCCAGGGAATCATAACTATCCGTCACATAGAAGAGAGCCAAGTGCCTGTTTTTTTCCCATGAAACTTCTGTTGCCATGGCTTGAACATTTAAACTAGGGGTGTCCAACCCTGGCAACTTTAAGACTTGTGGACTTCAACACCCAGAATTCCCCTGCCATCATGAATTCTGGGAGTTAAATTCCACAAGTCTCAAAAGTTGCCAAGGTTGGACACCCCTCATTTAAACCATGAGTGGCCAATCTTTAATTAGACAATGGTGAATCTCGCTCTCCTGATCAAGTGCAGCATGCCTTCTAGTGATGACGGGAGAATCAATTTTCTCATAGTTTTTTTGGGGGGGACGGGGAGGATGGATAACCCATGTCCCTGGAAACTGACTATTTTGCCATCAAATTTCAAAAGTTCTCAAGATGCTAAGAGGCCACATTTCACCATAGGACACAGGTTGTCCATCGCTTGCTTAAGCCTTCTCCTACTCACAGGTAAACTCTTCATCAAGCAGCAGCTCTGATACATCTGTAAGAGTATCCAAAGAGCATCTCAGTAATTAGGAAACTATTTCCTAAAAAAAAATCCTGTAAAGAACTTTTGTATATTTTAGCTATATGTTGAATGTATGGAAAAATCCAATTGCACTCATTAACTATCAATTTGATTTTTTTAAAAAAATAAAGTTATATACAAATTCATTTGTGAGCCTAAGCCTATATTTGTTTTGTTCTTTTCAAATGTAACAGAAGAAATATTGCTGTTATGTGGGTTCAGTTAGCCTGACTTTCTCCTCCAAAGTATACTGAACTTGAAAAAGAAAATATTTGTTAACTTGCATATACATACAAAACATTTGTTAACTTGCATATACTTTACAAAGTTCATTGAGTTTCTGATATTGAAACAAGGCTATTTATTGTGTTCAGGACTGATTGTGCACTACTGTGAAAAAAAGTAACATACTCATTTCCAGCACAGCATCTCATTTATACTCAATAACCAGTCTTCTAAAACTGATGGTTTTAATAATTTAATACTTTAAAATATTGCATTTTGATAACTTATTTCTCCATGATACCAATTATCTAATAATAAATGAGATGTTAATATATGCACTTATTACACACTATTCACACAGAACCAGACCTCTAGATAACAACTTTCTGAATAGATGTTTGACCTATTCCAATAGACGACCTCTTCTGATCCATCAATTACAGCCAAACACTGCTATTTTATAGGTTTTGATATGTAAATTAAAACATTTCATATACTTTATTGCCCAGAATACAGTATAAGTATTTATGATTGGCTGAACTCAATGAATGGTGAATTTTGTTAGGATTGTAGGATAGAAACAACTATTTTAAATTCTAATTAAAAAATTGCAAGAAAAGTTTTATTTATTCAAAAGGTATTTTTTTATCTAGTCTTTCTTTGCAGCACCAGAATCTCTTCACGAGCCTTAGAATGTGATATGTGAATCACCTCTACAATCCTATATATGATGGTATGATAATCTGAAGGTTCCAGTTGCTCCCTACTAAAGCACACTGCCTTACACTTTCTACCCTTATTTTTGTCAAATTGTGCTGCTTTAATCTACAGGTAGTCCTCGATTTACAACAATTCATTTAGTGACTGTTTGAAGTCACAACAGTACTGGAAAAAGTGACTTATGACCGTTTTTCATACGATCATTACAGCATTCCATCGTCATGTGATTAAAATACAGACTCTTGGCAACTGACTCGTATTTATGAAGGTTCCAGTGTCTTGAGGTCATGTGATCACCTTTTGCAACCTTCTGACAAGAAAAGTCAATGGGGAAGCCAGATTCACTTAACAACTGGGTTACTAATTTAACACCTGCAGTGATTCACTTAGCAACTGTGGCCAGAAAGGTCGCAAAATGGGACAAAACTCACTTAACAAATGTTTCACTTAACAACATAAATTCTGGGCTCAATTGTGTTCATAAGTCAAGGACTATCTGTACTTTGTTTTTGGACATAAAAATATGAAAATGATATTGTGTCCATCTTGAAGACTGGATACCACAGAAAAAGTGCTGCTTCTGGCACTATGGATTCTTTTGGCAGAATGCTCCACATATTCCAGCAGTGGGTATGCTCCTCCTAGTTTGATACCAAAATTGAGAGTCTTTGGGTAAATTGCTGATAACTGATGCTCCAGTTCAGAACCCCCAAATAATGTTAGGCAATACGCATCAGGACTCTGCCAGCTCAGAACCAGTGTTAAAACCCTGTATGGGTGTCAAAGTCATGTGACGGCAGCATCACATGATGTATCAGGACTTTTTTCCCCTTCACTAAACTAGGCATGGGCATGGCTAGCATGTGACGGATCTGGTCCATAGGCCAGGAGTATACACCTGCTGTAATTAACAGATTAACAGATTGCACACAGTTCAAAAGCTAAGCCATCTGATTTCCAACTAAATGGTGTAACCATTGAACCATCTGCTTCTCCGTTGGATGTACCTGTTGTCTCTGTGTTCCTCTGAGCTCCTGATTGTCCACCATTCTAGTGGCAACTTTAAAGGCAATGCTAATCTGACTTGTTGGGATGAATGTGAGAAGCTCTATTGCCCCTTTCCATTCTAATGTGGAGCAAAGAACAAGTTGCTTGGTTCCTCTCCCCTCCCCCTCACCCCCGTGTGTGTATTGGGGGGAAGGAGAGATTCTGGTCAGTCCAAAGAGGAATAAATGGCACGAATTGCCCTTACAATGACTTCCACATCTTGTAGCTTAAAAATTACATATTGCCTCCTTTCCCTTCCACTGGTGTAACATACAATGAAGCATCTCTAATGCTAGATGGGATTGCACTGCCCCAAACAGACCCTGTGCACAGTCTGTGGTCTTCCTGGATGCACAACTTCTGCTCAAAGAGCACTCATAGCTAGGAGGGCCTTTGTATATCATCTTATACAACGATCCAGTTAAGTCCGTTCTTGGATCAAGGGGACTTACTCATAGTCATTCATGCCCTAGTGATCTCCCAGCTGGACTATTGCTATATATTCTACATGGGGCAGCCGTTGAAAACTATCCAGAAACTTTAGCTGGTGGAAAATACAGCAGTGTGAGCAGTTATGTATGTTCCTGGTAGTCTCATTATACCTCTGCTGTGCAAGTTGCATTTGTTACGTTTGTTTTCAGATCCAATCCAAGGCGCTGGTATTGACCTACATGACATGGGACTGGGATATTTGAAGGACGGTCTCTTCCTGATTTCTAATAGATCTAATAGAGCAGACCTATTGTGGATTGCATCATCTAGGGAGCTACATTTGGTGAGCCCTAGGCAATGAGCCTGTCTGCTGTGGCACTTGTATTATGGAATCTTCTCCCACTTCCACTCCCCCGAGGTCAGCGCCATCACTCTGGAGCTGTTGCAGGCAGCGCAAGATCTGGTTGTGCCAGCAGGCCTGAAAACACCTTCAACTTCTGAAATGGCTCCACTATTGTTTTTCTTCTTTAGTTCTGTTTTTATAATATTCAGTGCTTTTGTAACAATTACTTAGAATGCTTTTAGGCCATGATTGTTTTATATATATTATTTTATTGAATTGTTTTATGCCAAGGGTGTCAAACTCGATTTCATCAGGGTTGTGATCAGGGTTGTGGCCACGGGGTGGACGTGGCCAGCTTGACGTCACTCGTGGGGGGGGGGCACCTGTGGTGGCCCAAGTGTTTTCTGCCAGTGAAAATGGGCTCCTGAGTTCTGTTTTTGGTTGTGACGCCTTCCTGTAAGTCTCTGCCAGTGAAAACTTGGGAGGGCCACGCACAGCCCTCCCAAACTCCATTTTCACTGGCAGAGGCACCACGGGCCAGTCCTTCGCTGTTTCCAGGGTGGTTCCACGAGGCAGATCTAAGCACCCCATGGGTCAGAGCCAGCCTGCAGACCTTGAGTTTTGACACTCCTGTTTTATGCCATCCAGTCACTTTCTGTGAGATTGGCAGCTATATAAATTTGATAAATACATTTGATTGCAAGAAGTACAGAGCATCATGCTACCTTTACAATTTTTAATGAGGCTTTAATACATGGGGGGGAGGGGGGTTGCACTAGCCAAATGCATGTAGGAAGAGTGTTAAGTTATGTATATAACTTCCTTTTTGTATAGAATGGAGATAGGTGGGTTGTTTTTGCTCCAGGACAAATAGTAGTTGATTGAGCATTGATTGGCACTAAAGGGAAAGCATTTCTTCTCAGAATTCTGAAATTAACAGAAGCAAAGATGGTTACTTTGGTCCATTTCACATTACTTATAGGGAGCTGAAATGGTTTGTAGAAGTACCTATTATTTGCTAAACTTATGTTGAAGCTAGAAGCAATATTGGTTCCAAATTAATTGCATTATTTTAGTACACCTCAGGAAAATGGAACAAGTTATACTGTTAATTTGTTGCACTTCCAAAGTAGGAATGAGGCTTTCTTATTGTAGTGTGAGCTTAGCTTTTCCCGTCTTTCCTGGGTTCTTGTGATTCCAGCATGAGCTCAGAAACACTTTTCTGTGTGAAAAATGGTGAGTTATGTACAGTTCTACATATTAAATGAACATTACAAGAACTTGGGCTGCACATGAAAGACGAATAGATTATGTGTGATAAAAATGGCTTCCATAGGTAAAAGAAAACTAGTTTTAGATTATGTGCCACAAGGTAATTTTATTTTCCTATCTTATTTTCAAAATAAACTGGAACAAATGAGAATCAGGAAATAGAAATTAAGAAGCTTTTATTTACAATGTTCCTTGCTAACAGATGACATGTTTAATATAGCT